AAATGATTTCAATACTTCCTTTTTCGAAGCTGTTGAACAATTATATAAAGAGGCAGTATGTTTTTGTATCACTGTGATTTCCCAAGGATTTTATGACCAAGAGGTGTGCTTTACTTGATTAGGTTTCCACTGAATGTGAGCCATTTATCCAAACCTGGCATCCAAACCGTACCCAGGACTACTGGATACATTTAATCTACAGTACTTATTCTACTGCGAATTTTTGATGCCATTTCCAGCTGGGGTACCAACGGAATTAATTTTCATTGCGATTTTTACTGTATGCTGAATGGCTTATGGAGTAATAAGACGTTACAGTCAAGTGCTTGGTTTAGTCACTTTGATTCGTCCATAACTGTCTCTCTCTTTCAATAGAGCAAGCTTCAACAACTCGTGAAGGTCGGCATCAGGGTGCAGCTCAAACTCACCTTGCACCGAACCTCATCTGTTTCTAGAAGATTGATTAACACATCAATACCACCCACATCTCGTACAGCCAGTTGGCATACTTCTGTTTTCAACGGCATATCCTGAAGTGCGCATAACGAGATAATTGTGGACGTTTGGTTTCCTCCCTGAAACATAGAAGTGAAAACGACTTGTCATTGACTACGAACCACGCAGAGGAATGCATAAGTTGATATTCTTTGAACGGATTTTGAAGCACATTGATCAGTTTTAAAAGGGATTATTCTTTGAGAGGCTAGTTTTACTCTTCAAATTTATCAAATATGTAATGAGAACATAGAGAAGGCAAATATTGTGAGACGTTAACATTGCTTTTTAATCTCTTCATTTGCAACAAAGTTTTCTATTGAAGTTGATTCCCTTTGTGCAAACGTCCCCCTCCCTGAAGTGGTAGAATTTTTTATGTGAATATATTTGTTCAATGAATATTCATCTTATTATTCCCACGAATTCTTTCAAGGATTTTATCATTGTTTGCACTGAGAACATACGTTGTGAATTTGAAGGAACAGTGAACAACCAAACTGACGATGTACCAGTGGGTAGTCCTCTGGGCCCAACGTTAGCTAATATGTTTCTAGGATTGATTGGAGATCAGTGAAGAATGAAATTTCAGAGGCTCATTTGTACAAACGTTGTCATTATTGTTTTGATTTTTACAGATCTTGGTAACTTTAACACCATGTTTACATTGTCTCATACTACCAATCTCAATCTCTCTGTTTTCCTTGAGAAGGAGGAGAAGGACAGGTGTTTGAACGTTTCAGATAAGAAAATCAGGAAGCGATCAAATCAGACAATTACAATAATCCTTCCACAGGAAAATTATAGGGATTAGACTATACCTACAATTTCCTACTTTAGCTTCTGTGACATAAAAACGATGCCTGGTGAAAACTCTATTCCAGCGTGCCAAGCATATTTTCTCCCCTGGCACGCTTCAAGAAGAAGGGGCCTTTCTACGAATGAAGCTAGTGCATCATGGTTATCCAGAGAAACTCATGAATATGCATAGCAGACGAACGACACCGGATGATTCCTCCTGTGAAGTACCGAATAAAGGCGTCTTCCTCCTACTGGGTGATCACCTAATGAACGACGTGCACCAGAAGTTCAAGATAGCATTGTGTTGAACGCTTAACTGTTTCACAGATTTAATTAAAACCGTATGCCAAAGGAATTCAGCCGAACAAACGAAAACCAACTCTGCTTCACGTCATCTATCGGTACACCGGCGTTTGTAGTGGTACTTACATCGACAGAACGAATTGGTTCCTGTCAAAAACGGATATCCGAACATGTTCCCAAAATGGTCAGCGACGCAGATAAGAAGAATCCAAAATCATCAATCGTAAAACATTTCATGACAACTGAACACATCGTCGACCCACTTTTGTCGTTCAAGCTCTTGTCACGTAAATGAAACACAGGCTTTTTGTTTTCAACAAAGCCTTAGTCATCAGGTTGTGCAATCCAGTTTTGTGTGCACAAACGTTTCTGACGCAATCAGTCAAAATGCCGCTGAATTGATTTTGGAACTGATTTCCCCATTGCCTTGACTATAGTCCGTTAAATTACTGTAGTTCTCATAACTTTCTTGTATTGATAAATATCATATTATTTATTATTATTTTACGTTGTAACAACTGAAGGGATTAAAAGAAATGTTACGATTTCACCGTATTTTTACTCTCTCTATCTGTTTTAGCGAATCAGATAAAGGAGACCCGATATTATCAATATATATGGCTATCCAGAAACGCGGTCTTCAAACCCACCCACGCATGTGAATCCAAACTAACTTTTAAATACTTGACCATCTTTCCAATTTGCCAATACTCTGACGGTAAATCCGAGCTGGCATCTGTTCGACGTTCCGGCACATCGTCCTCCTCTCCGCTCTCGCTTTCCGAACTGACCTCGTTGCAACTGTCATCTAATCCGGACGAGATTTGTCTGTGGACACACCATAGAGACAAAACAAAAGGTGCATATGTTGAAATGTGAACCTTGAAAGGCTGATACGGTATTGGGTTCATTTATCTCTCTAGTCCAAATAACGATTAAATTATAACCCATTTCGGGAATGCTTACCTTTGTTTCGAACGATCTTTCAGTCGTTCAAGAGTGATAACATCCGTGTGCCGTCTTGTAAAAAGAAACAAGTAAAGAAATTAAACGTAGCGAGGTTTCCGAATGACCCACAGAACGCGAAACAACTACATTCACAAATGCATAACAAAAATTGGGCAATGAAGCAACAGAAACACAATTTTGATTGCCCTACGTCCTCCAGCGTCGTTCCTTTTCAAGACGCTTCTTGTACATCTTGGTTTTCTCGACTTGTGTGGCCTCGGCAATCTGTTCTTCCATCGGTTGTGATTCCGGCGAAATTCCGTCTTCTGGAGATGAGGGACCCTGTAGATCTTCCGATTCTGCCGGATCACCAAGATCACTAGGTTCACCCGGCGAATCGACCTTATCTGCCTCTTCTGCATTAAATTGATTGTGTTGTTGGCGTGCACGGTCCGAGCGGATCGAATCATTGTGAAACTCAAACTGACCGGGTTGAACCGACCGAATACCGGTGCTATTGTTTGAATCAACCACATGCCAATCTACTTCTGAAGTAGGCGATGAAGCATGAGCACCGGACTCCACCCCGCTGGGCAAACAAAGAGGCATTGTGCGTGCAAAGAAGGTTCGATTGAGAAGAAATGCAGAAGTACAATATCCGGTGAAAAACAGGTGGCTCAGTTTTACTAAAAAAGGATAAACCAAGCAGTTAAGAGTAGATGCATCTGTGAATTTATGAATGTTTGCTTGGATGAAAAACGAAATATCTGGCTTCAAAATCCGTACACTGCTAGTTTCGGTCATCACCAATGGACGATGAAATATAATTTGGTCTAGCACACATACAAACCTACGCACAGGTCACCGCTTATCAACGAAGCCCATTATTAAAGGCTGACCAAATGAACGTCGGTAGACGGCAGATGAAGTATTTCAGACACTGCTCTATCCCTCGCATCTCCCACACATTTTATGCAACGGATTCCTTCTCTTGCTGAGCGTGGGCTGTCACGTGGGCTCGGTTTACACAGTTTTCTGAAGATTGTGTTCCTGTAATTTCGAATCACGTGGCAAAAATTACGTAGCACAACTGCAAGGGAGAAACGAAAACAAACTTCTCAGACACCGGTTCACCGGTTAGCCTTATCCTGGAGCTTTTGAGGACTAGGATAAGCCAAACTATGTAAATGCTGTTGTCCACATTTTAGGCGTGATGTTAGTTAGAATTTGAATGACCACCGATAGTTGGCGTTTATAAGCCCGTGAACTTTTTCCGAATTGGCTCCCTTTATCATTCGACCTGGAATAAGTGAAAACTAGTTCTCATTAGTCGCATTTAATTGTTGTCCTTTTTTTGGTAAATTAGCTTTGCGAACCTCTGTTCTTATTCTTATTTATATACATAATACTTGAAACTTATCTATGGTTTATTCTATACTTGACAAATTGTTGTCCTTGACATTTTTATTCTTGATAAACTGTTTCCTTTTGTTTTTCGTTGTAGGAAACAGAAAAATTTTCAAAGTCCTCTCATTTCATTTTACCGTTATTGAATTGGTGCTGTCCCCATGCCGGTGGTACAAGGCGCTTGCCATGCTAGTGGTCCGGACGGGTCTTTGAATGTGTTCTTCTGATGAGTTCTAACACGAATGAAACTCGACTTTCATGCTTGTTGAGTATATGAGCAACTGGAGGAACTGAGGATGATACGTGAACAGTGATCTGGTCAGCCTAAACAAATATATGTATACATATATACAATTATAGTGATTAGTGATGATTTTCTTTTGGATCAAGTGAATAGATTGCATTATTTATGAGATTAATTGATTGATCAATTCTACTCGCCTAGGCACTGATGATGATGATCATTGTCGTTCAGTACGATGAAATCAAAAGAACATTGCAACTAACTATTACTATCAACATGTGGAAGTGGCTTTTAAATTGGTAGTATCAATTCAGTGCTAAATTCCAAGTTGGTTTACACAAATATTGTTTTGATGGAGGTGTGTTTCAATTTGGAAGTCTTTAGACCCAAAATCATCGCTCATTTTCAACCTGTTGACATCATAAGCTAACAACCATCACTCATTCGTTCATTCACACATGAGGCTTACTTGGTCTGATCTTTGTTTGCCGGTCGCCTTCTGGTCCTCGCTTTCTTCGGAGCTGCGGCGCTTCTGTAAGCATTCAACACACAGGAAAACATTGTTTCCAATGAAATGTGAACTAGTGTCGTCTACAAGTAAATTCGACTAGATAGCCTGTTCAACACACAGAGTTTTGCTATTCTAATACACATAGAACTAGACTATTCAGTAGTATTCTTTCATTTCGGCAAGAGAACAACCGGTATCGATTTTCACCAAACACAGCGATGAAATCATTTCACACAGGTTTTTTGGAGGAGCTATGAGGTTCGTAAAAACCAAGCATGCAACGCATAACTTCTCGTTAATGCAAGAAGTAACCTGATACACGTGTTGCAAGTGTTCTGCCTTGGTTTAACAGGTTCTTTTGATCAATAACAACAATGCAGAATGCGGAAAATCGGAACCTCGCGTTACAGATTTCGAGCATGTGAAATACCTCTGTATCCTAATAAAGTATGAGCAATACTCCAACCAACAAGTTAAAATGATAAAGTGTGATAATGAACATCCCATATCACAGGATAAAGTTGTTCAATTTCAAATACAGAGACAAAAAGGTGCTGCTAAGTGAAGATTGAACAAACATTTTCAACTTTCCTGAAGGGGCTTCTGCCTCCTGGATGTATATTTGACATACGCGTTTCATTGTCAAAATGAAAAATGTGGTTACAGGTTAAGGATGACCAAGTGCACAACCTTTAACTTCTAACTAGAACGAAAGAGAGAAGTTTGACAGAACCCCCTCCTCAGTGGAGTCCTGGGGGGCTGATCTAAGGTGACCTGCAGATAGGCGTTCAGAAAGCCTCATTTCTGAATACCAGATTGGTTAAACTTATGTTTCACTGCAAAAACTGCATGGCGGTGATGGTGAAGTCTAGTATTGTAAGCGCTGTGACTAAAATATCATTAATAATAATAGTATTTTTCGATTTACCGTAAAATAATATTGCCTGGGCAAGTTGGCAGTATTCCGCCAACAAGAAACTCATGGAACGTTCTTCTATGTCATAAAGTTTATTGTATCGTGATTTGTTTGGCACACAGTCCGACTCAGAGATGTATGAAATATAACACAATACAATACCATGGTATATTAGTTATCTCACTTTTCCTGATCTTTAAGTTTTCACCCTTTATTGATTTTCCAATTGTGATTTCATTTCGTCCATTAGCGTGTTTGTAGATGAACATTCTAAGTGCTTCTAAGTGTTAACTGTTACTAGTACCCGCCCCTGTTTGTACTGTGTACTACTGTCTGTGTTAACTACAATTTTAACAATACGGTTTTTTGAAGATATTGTACTAGATGAAAACAACACAGATTTGAAGTGAGCGCGACTTACTTCAGACCGTCCTGATCGCCACTGGGTTTTGGACCAGCGGCCCTTGCTGTGTCACCGGTCGTACGGAGTCCAATCACCTGCCAACGTTCACTGGGCTGGTTTGTCTGTCCCAGCTGCACATTTTCTTGCGGTTTTTCTCGCCCAAAACCTCCAGCAGGTTTGCTCGTGTTCGTATTTTCCACAGATCCGCCAACTTTTTTCTTACTTTTAGTCTTGCCTTCGTCAGACCGATTCTCCACCGTGGTTGGCTGTCCGGATACTTTATTGGCTCGATTTCCGGGACTGGGAGTTTTTTCGCTTTTCATCAATGCAGCTAAATCGGTTGTCTTCATGAATTCGTCAAATTTCGCACTGTTTGCTCGTAGCAATGCGATCAGATCACGATAGACATCGCCGGTCTTCTCAAAATTCATCTGGCCAGTTTTGTCATTATAGCCCTAGCACAAGCCAAACATGGATTATTGAAAACATGTAAATGAATATGCTGTTCGCGGATCCAGGGGTGTTATTATTATTACTATCATTATGGTCCGCACTTAGTCAAAGCCCATAATGCTCATCAATAAAATTTCAAAATAATAAACACCTATAGTTCTTAATCAAGTTGTAGATAAAAGTCAAACCTGGCAGGTGCAGTTTGGGATATTTTCCAAAAATTGAAATGGTTTGAAGCTTCCGACTGGGGTTAATGGATCAGTAGATATGAGGCTAAACAAACCGACTAACTTCAATTGAGGATGAATGCTAAACCGATTTACTTCACTGATTCTCGTCAAATCGGATTTGGGCCGGTTGTCACAGTAATGACATCTTTTCCATCCAGGAGATTCGGGATTCAAACCCCGGGCTAGCCCATAGACAGATACCGGCAATGAGCTTTATCAGGAGAAAAATGCAAATCTGCTGAGTCCCGAGTGTTTGATTGAATGAGTGACCGGGGGCCACGGTAAAAGATCGATCCCCCGAGAGAGTCAGATAAAAGCAATAAAACAATGCAGCGCGAAATGATCCGCGTTGTATTTTATCACTCCCGGGTGCAGTTAGATAATTTGCTGTTTCACCTACAAACTCGATCACTGAAGGAGAGTGTGACGCATAGCACACCTCTAAGTGAGACGAACTTTCAAAAAATGGATAAGGCTACGAAGCCAATTGAACAACGCACATCTGAGTGTCTACGGCATGAATATTTCAACTGGTAGGCCTTAAAAGGATTCATGTAGTAGTAACCCCTTCCGGAACATCCTCTCTTGTGTCTCTTTTGTTTACAATGTTTGATAAATGGTCTGGAGACATATGCGATGAAATTCGCTGTGGACAGAACAAAAGAAATATAAACAAGAAAATTGGATCTTATTACCGATGGACGGTTTGCTATTAGGTGCAATGCGAGCTTTGAAGGTTATTTTCAACCATCTTAGCAAATCCCTAACAAATCAATCGACTGATGCTCTAGAATCAGTAACATGTAAGACTATTTGGAGTATATTTTTCTGTGCCTAATTCTAACGGTGCGTGGCTTGCCCCGGATAACCAACCCCTCGTTGTATAGTTGTACATAATGCGTTCTGCGTGTGCTTTAGACATTAACAACATGGTTTTGCACAGGAGAATACATTCATTCGGAGCAATGAGTCACATATATAGCTCATCTCCTTCGCAACGCTCACTAAGTAAAGTTCATACCGTGAGTGTTTCGTGAAGGAAGATCGTGCAGTCTATTTACTCGACTGGCTTTTATCAATCATTCATTCTCACAACAATTTGAGCAAGAAAATTAAAAAAAAACAGTGAACCCCATACGGATTCAGAAAAGAGTATTTCAACATATTCTCACGAAACTTCGACGCCTTCCTTTCCGTGTCCGTTAACTTTAACCATTTCGCATCTGACTCAGAGTTACTTGTGAGTAGTAGTGCTCATAGCATGACTGAACCGAATTACCAATTTATGTTTGTTCAGGTGTCCTCTTCAGGGATAGTGGTAATGCACATGCCTTCCATACGATGGGTCCGGAGTTTCAATCCCGGACGGGACTTTGGAAATGCACTGCTGATGAGCTCTGATAGGAACGATAATTGAGTCTAGTGCTTCCGAGTGGATGGTTGGGTGGATGAACTGAGGATTGCACGTGAAGGTGAAGTCCGAAAGATAGTCATTTAAAATCAATATTTTTCCAATCACCTAAAGAAAGATTTTAAACTGCTTCAACTTGGGCTGACCACCATTAGCCGCATCTCTTCAATACCACTCTAGGAGTTGGTAACTAGCCTGTGCAAACGTCTTCTGAATGCACGTGAGGAGTTTGCACCTAAGATTCTTATCGACCCTTCACATTCACTGCACACAGAGTTACCTTTCTGTCGTTCCCATTAGTCAACTAGTTCTCACTGCCCTAGAGTGTTTATTCTCAAATAAGCATAGAATGTAAATCTACGGTGCGCCCTTTGGCACGTATTAGAGTTAACAAACAACAGTCTCTTACAGTTCCAGTTTCAGTTTTTATAGCCACTAATAAAACACTTTCGTGCGCCGATGTTGGTTTGTGTCCTTTGGCCGGCCATTTGAATAGAAGAGAACAATGAAGATTGGAATATTGAAAGTTTTTCGCAGAAATTCATTAAAAGTTTTTGTATTTAACTTTTTCTCTTCTTCTCCCTCTTTCCAATAAGTAGAAGTGAGCCTTCTCCTTTTACCTTATTCGACCGAATCGAAAGCCAGAAGTTAGCAAAAAGATCCGCACACGACAGTGTAAGTTTGATGGTGGTTGAAATCTGAAACACTCACGGGTTAAGGATATTCATCTGAAACTATTTAGAAAACCAAGATTGTTATTCATTAAACAACATGCCAGTATTTGCCGCGTAGGAAGAACGCAACAAGCAGCAGTACATCCATGATAAAGATGGGAGCACCACCCTAGATGAATGAATGTTATGCTGTTACTCAAACCTACTAGATAAATGATCACAGATAACAGAAGAAAGAAGGGAGTGAAACATTTTCAACTTGACCAATGATGCTATAATGGGAACAACAAGCTTCGCTTTGATCTTTGCTTGTGGCTCTGTGAAGATTTAAAGTGTTGCTTACATGAATAGTCAATTATGGTTGGTGTTTCTCCACGGAACGCAGAAATTCGACCCATACATCAGAACGTTGAACGACTCCCTTCTCTCTTTACTTCCGGAGAATCAGCGAAACTGTAATCATGGAGCGAAATGTACTCGTAGTACACGCAGCTCACATTAATATAAATTGGACCTTTTATTACAACATGAAGATCATTGATTGAACCCTTTAAAATTTCTTATTTGAACTTCGTTGAAAAAGTTCGGGGTTTGTTGATCAGATGGTATTCAGTGTCATTCACAAATGGTAGGCTAAACAAACATGGTGCGTCTGAAGCTGCTCAGATATTCATGGGACGTGTGCAGCCATGTAAGCTATTTCCGGGAAAATGTATCATTTGGAAGATGACTAGACGGTTTGACCTATTATTTATACATGAAAACGTAGACAGTTGCAGTGGAAAACAAAGCATCCTTGGGCATGAGCTTCTCAAACAGACGAGGCCTCGTTACCGTTGAACAGTATAGCCTGTTCAGTTTAATTCCGCTTGGACGACTATTAGGAAGGCAGTTTTTGCCGCGGTTTTGACTGACTCCCACAACAGAAGCTTTTTTCTACCTTGTATAACTGGGCCTCCAAAGAATAACAACATATGATGCACGGTTGCGCTGAACACACGCCGTTCTCTTGTATATTAAAAACATTGCGGCTTTAACAAGGGTACGGGAGATGGGTAGATTTTAAGCTTTTGTTTTAATACGCATTTAATGACCTTCTCTTCTAAACTTCCACTATCTTTTACACAACCCCTGAGGTAGATAGAACCGTTAGTTGTCTATGAATTTTCACACCTAAACAAGAGTGTAGACGCCGGCTCAGGTAAGTTTTGCAACACAACCTATTACATCGAAGGTTCAAAGTAGATGCCGTCTCCAGTCAACTCAATTGATAAATAATTAGTTGCACTTTTTATGGTCGCTTTGCAAAACAATACCGTCTGCATTTAAAATTTTACAGTGATTCTTGTTTCTGTCTTCCCTTAACATTTTAATAATAGGGTATGAGAATTCTAACTAAGAAACTCGATTACATAGGTTGCGTAAGGCTCCCTAGATGGGGACCACGGGATCATTGTGATCAATGGTTAGAGACAGTAAGTGTTATGGCTGGGTGTCATAGAAATGGCGTTGGTGCATCTTCTGAATTTCTATTTAACCTTAATCCACTGAAACTTTCCATTTTCTCTTCAAATCTACTTTTAACTTTCCTGTTTTTCTCCTAAGCTTCATCTAAATGGGCAGCCAAAAGGGACAGTAACCGAAACCAGAGCACAAAAGTGTTCTGCGAATGGTTGTATAAACTGAAAACTGAACTGAAACCACCAGTTTATTTGAGTCAAACTGCAACGGGAACTGAACAGAGATATGAAACTGGTTTGACGTAAGGTTACTTAATAAGGGAAAGCAAACAAATCGCCACGTCGATAGTTTACAGCCATTCAAAATTAATGCCATTGATTGAGTACACAAGCTTAGCCTGAATTTGTGTTGTAGGTTTTGTTTCACCTAAGCTCAAGCTAAATATAGCAAGAAATATTATGTTTGTAAATATGGTAAAACGTGCATTGTTTAACTTTAGTTCATAGTTTTACAGGCCAAGTAGTGTGCCGTTGTGATTAGACCGGAACACTAATCCACAGTTGTTTAAACACGATACTACAACTTGTCCTTACTCAGAATAACTCCTTTATACTCACCCCGTTAACAAACCATCCATAGGTTGCCGCGGTTACCGAAATATCGGTGGATGTGCCACGAATCCTTGCAGAAAAGTAAGCTATGTCACCGTGCATTTGTCGCCAAGGCGGAGCTCGACATCCGTTATCGTGTATCATTTTGAATACTGAAATTCATAAATGTAATGTTAGGGCTAGTAAAATAATGTCAACCTCAAGAGATACAAACAATTTGTTTCCTGCTACATCATTCTACGGGATTGCACAAAGTGAAACATAAAATCCACAATTTCTACCACAGTATAACAAGAAATGCCGCTCACAATTGTTCATTTGAAAGCTGAGAAATAAAGAAAATTCATGACTGAGGGGTTTGAGGGAACAAAGGATATATTAGCCGAAATCTCCATACAAACAAGTGTTTGTCCCTCATATTTGTAACTGATTAATTCGTAGTGGCATATTTTCACATATTTTTCAGATGATGGAGTAGCGAGATGAACTTTTGAACGCTGAAATTCATATCAATATAAATATAGAAACTTTAGGTAGATTAAGTTTGAAAACATTGAATAAATGCATGAGCGATAATGTTTACGACAATTAATGTTTGTAGACATTGATTACACGGACCTTGAAGTTTCCAACTTTGAAGTCCGACTTGACTTGACCCACACATTAAAATCCCCTGAGTACGACCCGAGCTCGAGCACCTTTGACATTTAAAACTAACAACTGTCTCAGCAAACAACGCATGCTGATGAAACATATCGGATAAAATTTGCAACAGATGTCTCAGATAACTTTGTATATAGAGCACATTCTGTAGTAGATAACTGCTTATGAGTTTGCTTAACCTCGGCGATGCTCCTCTGGATGACCTAATAAACTCGTGCAACGGGGCTTAGACAACGATTTTACAGTATTAATACTATATTTTTATCCTTCTCCGCTGCAACCACGTCTCTGTATTATACAGCAGTATCTAACTCACTAGTGCAGTCTGCTCTCGATTCTTCACAGGCGGGAAGATGTTCCGACAGCACCATAGATGTCTCAATTTGCTAAACACCAACCTAGCCTATTGTGAGCTTCCCTACATTGAATTCATGATGTTTCCGCTAGGTGCAATATCACTTCCCTGATACCATAATGTCTACTTTCTCTATTGCTTCTAAACTAGGTTATAGCTGGAAGATTGATCAACCCAATCCCGTAAAAGTCTTTTACACTTGAAGTTGTAAAATCTAATGAACCCATCCGGCCAATCTCGGTCTGCAATTAGTAGTACAATGTGATGTGCATACTTGAAGTAAAAAAAGCCTACAACCTAAGATCATATCAATATTGCCAGCCTCACAAGAAGAACTAGTTACTTCATGAGGCATGTGCATCACAACCTTAAATAATATAGTTGAAGAGGGGCTAGCCTTGATGAACATAGCTTTTCCTGGTGAATGCGCCTTAAGCATAAAATTAGCTTGGGCTATTATTATAAATGAGCCGTACCAATACAGTTCACTTTAATGGCACATTCAAAATATCTTTCTTGACCTTTTTATGTCAATCGCATTGTCACAATCTGATTATCCAATAAAAGAAGATTTCATCAATTTCCATAATATTACCATTTTTGATTCAAATAAAATGCAAAGCGATTTGAAAATTAATGTCTTTATACCTCTGCACTTATCAAATGAGCTCACTTAAATATTGATTTGGCGTAAGCCATTAGTTACTGAGTTTGTAAAACGATATTGAATAACTAAAGTTTACTCGCAATCTCACTTAAAAGTGGGACTGTGTGCCGTTTTGCACGCGTTCGCTTTTGTTCAATAAATCACGCACGGTAAATAACTTTATATCAGTAGTGGTAGAAGTAGACGTAGGTTTTGAGTCAACAACCATATTTTCGAACTCTTGATTTATTCAAAATTTCTTCTAAAACATGTTACAAAATAATCATAAAAAAGGTGTTTCATAAATATACAATATAATACTAACATACCAGCAGTTTAGGGGCAGTTACGGTGACAATGTAGCTATTATAAAATTACGATGTTCCAAAATCAGGATACAGAAATACCGACAGAAAACAACTATCCAAATGAAACCACAATAACAATAACATTTGGTTTCTTTCAATAATAGCTGTTTGTTTGTTTCTTTCTTGTAAATGTTTTATTTCCTTGTGGTACAGGGTTTTAGTAAACAAAACCTACAGCAGTCATGCAACTGGCTTCTGTTCTTAATCATGCTTATCAGAGTCTCTGAGAATTAACAATAGTTATTCCTTGGACCCAGACCTAGAAGAAGGATTTCAACAACCAAAGCCAATACGGAAAATAACATTTTTGCCCCTGCTTCAACCCACTTTATTACTTACAAATCGCTAATGCAGAGCTAAGATTTAGGACAAGATCCTGATCACTATTAACTTATTTATATTCACTAAAAATCATAAGGACATTCCGGGGTATAAATGATGTCTTATGCATCTCGAGTGATGAATAACTAAGAGTTTAAAAGACTAAATGGATGCTTTTGTGAAAAAACACCATTGCAGGTTCGGAGTTAACCAGAGTTGTAATTCGACTAAAGTAATATATATATTAGTTTGAATCCATTTCGCTTATGGTTACCTTGAAAACGAGTTAAATGTGATGTGTGATGTTAGTAGACCTTTTCACAAAGGTAAATATTATTGTGGTGCAGGTAAATATTAGGAGAATATCGATTCTGTAAAAGCTTACGACTTTTTCAAACAAATTAAAAATCAAAAAAGTTGATTTGATTGGCTGAATAATGCACTAATGACCAAGTGACGAAGACAGCGGCATTCCTGTTTTGGTATGCTTAAGCTATGAACCCAATCAAAACAATTTTCATAATTATATACCTAGATGTTATTCTGAGAAAATTGTACACAGTATATTTATCAAACGAACCAAAAATAGCTACGAACAAAACCCAGTTATTATAAAGCGGAACCATATCCAAGCGTATTCTAGATACCACCGAAAATGTTATACATATATAGAAGGATAAAGGCTGAAGGTGGAACCTAGGATGTCTACCCAAAATTCACGTAAGTTAAAAAATCTTTCTAAGCTATATTCAAGCTGAATCAATTTCCAATGGATATATCTGAGGATGATTAGCAGTAAACATTTCAACCGAAAATTAATGATTACTAAGGTTGGTCTATTGAGGTATACTTTAATCTATTATGACTCACAACCCCTGTTCAGACGTTTGACATTTGCTTTGTATTGAATTAAAACCTTTTCGAGTAATGTATAAGTTTTCAGACAAACCATCTTCCAATCTCCAAAATGTTTTGTATTTAAAGTAACATAATCACGCCAATGAATCGGCAGAAGCCACAGATTGCCTTTTTGAATTGGCAATATTTTATGAAATACGAAATATATAATCTAACTTATCTATGAATTTTAAGAGAGGTTTCTGTAACCGTTGTCAGTCTGATCGTAAACTTGATTTTAAAATTTTTCTTATGATCGTGGGGTGAGATTACTTTTATTTTAATGACTTTGCGTCATGACTTTATCACGATAGAAAGTTTGGTCTAGTGGCAGACAAACTGAGAAAATGTTTATTCCTTGTCTCATGAGCACCTTCCAGATTTTTTACGTTACATGGCACGTATGACTGATTTATCGGTCATTATTGATCATTATCAATAATTAACTGATAATGAATGATTTCAATATTTATTGGCTTCACATTCATGTTGATGGTTCTTACCTCCAGTTGGGAGTAAATAATCAAGGATGCCTCTTTCGTTCTCGTTTCCAATTACATGTTGCAATAATCGTAATTCTCGTTCGACCGATTCCGGAGTCATTCGTATCTCTCTAAAAAATACCTTAATTGAAATAATCTCTTACTCGGCAACCTTGTGCAGAGTTTCGTTCATCAGCTTCATATCCANCCAAATTATGAAAATCCAAGGCCATTTTTAGAATTATTTTTTTCTCTGTTTCATTTTGAGCACCTATGAAATTCTCAATCATTAGCTATCACTTTCAATGAATACCGTTCTTATCCATCACCTCCTCCATAAATCTGTAAATTGAATCATCACTGTCAATAAGTGATGATGAAAACCGTTCTCCAAGAATTTTTGACAAAGGATCCGGGTTACCTACAAATGAATGTGGTAGATCAAGTATTCTATAGTTACATTCTAAACAAGATCTGCATTCAGATATAGAATCAACATTCGACATGTTCAGTATCTTTGCTGCTTCTGTTAAGCACAGTACGCTGAATTCATAACTTCCATCTTTTTGCTTTCGCAGTCTCCCTAAAGGATTTCCAGCAGCATCTGCTTGCGGACTCAAAGCGCCATCATCACTTTTCCAGTTATTTCAACAAAAATCAAATACCTTAAATCATAACCAGTTAGTTTCTCTGGAGTTATATTGCTTTTCCAAACAAGAGGGTTTTTGAATATAATATTTCCAGCTCCAGGGTATTTTGATGTGTATTGTCGCACGAATGTTATTATTTCATTCAAAATTGTCTGGTTAATCTTAGAAAATTCTAATTTTCCTGAACTCCCACCCCGTGCAGTGGTCCATTCCGCGGCTCTACTTAATGTTAGTCCCATTTTACGGGTTTGATCAATTGCCAGCGAACGACGCTATAGTAATTGAAGAAATGATGGATTAAAACAAATTTGAAGGAAATGTGGAATGCGCCATATAATGTTCCTCAGTCTGCAAAATAAGTTGCAGGACCAATTTTTCCAAATCTTTCTTTATTCATTGCTACGATGTGAACTGATCTGATCAAATTATATCAGGTTGCTTAACTTGCGGCTTGAGCCAACGAGAGTGCAGTCAGTCAGTCAGTTTCAGATCAGGTCAGGTCAGGTTGCACAGGACTGATAATGGTCACGGCCAATCGAGCGCCCAGATTTCTTCCGGCAGTATGCTCACAAAGTGTGCACCCACCACTGCAAATTGCCCTCAGAACACGTCCTTGCTGAAAGGGAAGGAAAAAACGCGTCTCCTTTTCACCTCATCGGCGAACAAGGGACATGGATCATGAAGGCGTTCCATATTACAATAAAAATCTTATTCTGGAAAGAGCTCTAACCATCGCTCATCCAGGGAACGCTTAAATGAAAT